TAGATAGATAGATAGATGATAGATGATAGATAGATAGATAGATAGATGATAGATATAGATGATAGATAGATGATAGATAGAGAGATGATAGAGAGATAGAGAGATAGATAGAGAGAGAGATAGATATAGATAGATAGGTGATAGATGATAGATAGATGATAGATAGATTGATAGATAGATAGATAGAGATAGATAGATGATAGATAGATTGATAGATAGAGATAGATGATAGAGATAGATGATGATAGATAGATGATATAGATAGATGATGATAGATAGATAGATAGATAGATAGATAGATAGATAGATAGATAGATAGATAGATGATAGATAGATGATAGATAGATAGATAGATAGATAGATAGATAGATAGATAGATAGATAGATAGATGATAGATGATAGATAGATAGATAGATAGATGATAGATATAGATGATAGATANGCTTCCCCCGCGCTTCCCCCTCACTGATCATCGCTTCCCCCGCGCTGACCATCACTTCCCCCGCGCTTCCCCCTCACTGACCATCACTTCCCCCGCGCTTCCCCCTCACTGACCATCACTTCCCCCGCGCTGACCATCGCTTCCCCCGCGCTCCCCCGCGCTGACCATCGCTTCCCCCGCGCTGACCATCGCTTCCCCCGCGCTGACCATCGCTTCCCCTGCGCTTCCCCCTCACTGACCATCACTTCCCCCGCGCTGACCATCACTTCCCCCGCGCTTCCCCCGCGCTGACCATCGCTCCCCCGCGCTCCCCCGCGCTGACCATCACTTCCCCCGTGCTTCCCCCGCGCTGACCATCGCTCCCCCGCGGTCCCCCGCGCTGACCATCGCTCCCCCGCGCTGACCGTGCTGTTTTCCCGCCGCCCCACCGCAGATCATCTTCCGGAAGATCAGCGACGTGCGGAAGGAGGAGGAGGAGCGCCTGCGGCAGAAGGACGAGGTGGCGCTCAGCATCCCCGTGGACCACCCGGTCAGGAAGCTCTTCCAGAAGTTCAAGCAGCAGAAGGAGCTGCGCAACCAGGGGTCAGCGCAGGGCGACGCGGAGCGCAGCCAGCCGCCGGCGCAGGGCCGCCCCTTGCAGAACGGCGCCCCCATCACGGGCACCAGCGTGGTCACCGTGTCCCAGATCACGCCCATCCAGACCTCCCTGGCCTTCGTGAAGACCGGCGAGGCCCTCAAGCAGAACAACCGCGACGCCATGGAGCTCAAGCCCAACGGCGGCGCTGAGCCCAAATGCCTCAAGGTCAACAGCCCCATCAGGATGAAGAACGGAAACGGCAGAGGGTGGCTGCGGCTCAGGAATAACGTGGGCACCCATGAGGAGAAAAAGGAAGACTGGAATAACGTCACCAAAGCTGAGTCCATGGGGCTCCTGTCCGAGGACCCCAAGGGCAGCGACTCAGAGAACAGTGTGACCAAAAACCCACTGAGGAAGACGGATTCTTGTGACAGTGGGATTACAAAAAGTGACCTTCGTTTGGATAAGGCTGGGGAGGTGCGAAGTCCGCTGGAGCACAGCCCCGTTCAGGCTGACGCCAAGCACCCCTTCTACCCCATCCCCGAGCAGGCCTTACAGACCACGCTGCAGGAGGTCAAACACGAACTCAAGGAGGACATCCAGCTGCTAAGCTGCAGAATGACTGCCCTGGAGAAGCAGGTGGCAGAAATTTTAAAAATACTCTCAGAAAAAAGCGTGCCCCAGACCTCTTCTCCCAAGTCCCAAACGCAGCTCCAGGTACCTCCCCAAATACCATGTCAGGATATTTTTAGTGTTTCCAGGCCTGAGTCACCTGAATCTGACAAAGATGAAATCCACTTTTAATATATATATGCACATATATATTTGTTAATATCTTAAAAACAGTATATACATCTATATACAGAAGTGTGTATATATGATATATACATCTATATTTTCACTTGCTTTCAATATGATGAACACAATATGGGTTTTGATATGTAAATATTGCATGTCCAGCTGGATTCTGGCCTGCCAAAGATGATTATTTAAAACATAGATATTGCTTGTATATTATGCAGTTGACTGCATGCACATGTTACTTTTATTTATAAGCTCTATTCTGTAATTTTTAAAAAAGTACGATTTTTGTTAACCAAGGCGATGTAATATTTGAAGAATCAGGGTCTAACCTGCCAATGTTGCCATGACAAACTTGATCTCAGGCTGAGTAGACTGCGCTGTCATTTCCTTGCTGTTCTGTTGAGTTAAAATTCTAGGTTGATGCCAGGGAAGAGTTCCACTTCGTAAACTGTTCGTACCATTTTATGATCTCTTTCCTTAGGCTATTTTTATGTAACTTAGTGTTAGCTTATTTTTCCTCAGCAGGCAGTGTTTTCTCCATTTAAATAACTGTTTTGTTGCCTAAGTCAGATAGCAGTATGGAGTATTGAAAATTTATTGCTATGGGTTCTGTGCATGAATTGCATTTTTGCTCAACTATACCTCTTCTTTTCCAACATTATACTTAGATAGTAATCATTAAGCTCCTATGTAAGGAAATCCCTGTCTCCTCCGTCTTGGAGAACAGCTGCCATCTAGTAAGCTGATTTTATCAACCCTATAAATACTAAACTATTAAATAGTGTATATTATTATAGAAATACTGCACCACAGGGTACAAAGGGCCTTTTAACGATTCATGTTAAAGATGCTGATTTTCCAAAGGTGATGAATGCTCTAAATTTGTGTTTCTAAAAACTTGTTCAAGGGTGGAGTTAGGCTCTTAGCAGAGAAACAAATAAACAAAAAACATTTAAGTGATCATATCAAAATTTTAACTACAATAATATAAAATAAAAAAGAATGTAAACGGACACGCTTTTGTAGCATATCTAAAACTTAGGAAGAATGAAACACAGGTACGGACTTACACATGATTCTTACTGTGTGTAGCATTAACACATGAAGTGTGGTTTAAAAAAACAAGTAAGAAGTAGATGTTAAGTTGCTGAACTCAGATAACTGCTTTTCTGTAATTTTATTCTGGTTACAATTTTCTACAGCTTTTTGCACACAGTTCTACTGCTGGACTTCTGCTGAGTTGATACAATAGACTCCTGGGGCTCAGGCAGATCCACTTATGAAAGGGGGGTACTAGAGACCGAATTTCAGAGTCTTTTGGGTTACAAATCCTCTTAGAAAGTGCCTATTATCAACTAAAAAAAAGTCACAAAGGGTTATGTTATAGCTAGTCCTTTAAATGATACGTACTGGGAATCAAATACACGTTCATTTCTAAGAACACAGAAGAATTTATTTCTTTTGACTAAAGGGTTTTTTGTAAAGTTGATGAGAGACATACTTTTGAATTGGTGCATGTATGACATTGAACAGTGGGAGCAGGGCAGTTCATGTTTGCATCAAGTTGAAAATATATACCAGTTGAATTTGTACATTATCAGAACATCTGTACACATAGATTAACAACATACACAAGATGATAGCAACGTCAAGGGAGATACTTTGATCTATTGTACCCATTTTTATGAGCTTTTCTAACTATCTCCCAGCATTCCTGAACAAAACCACCAGAATGAAGACAAGTTATCACAATCAGACTGGAGAAGTGCAAAACCAAGTCATTTATAAAAACAGTTGATACTTCAGAGTTTGTACTAGAACTTTTTCACATACCCACAAGATGTGCCTCTTTCATCCAGGAGACTCAGAACAGATGCCATGGGTTCCATTTTCTTCCCTTTGTGCCCATAACTTCCATGACCCATGCTGGAAGTTTTCAGGGGAGCATTTCTCCATGATCTGCTACAATATCTACCTACTATAGGCACACGAAAATGAGTGTGAGGTATCAGCCTGGAAATTGGGATTTTGTTACTTTCATGGTGAGGATGGTACCTTTTTCTTGACCTCTGACATTTATTGAATTTCAGGGTATTTTTCTATTTAATCAAGTGTGAGACAAGCTTGGCTAAGCTTCTGAAGGTGGATGAGTAGTAAAAATAATCTGAGTACAGAAATGGTCAGCTTAACTTTAGCCATGTGCTTCCAAAGTCACAGCTGCTATAAAGCTGTGGGAGAATGACTGAAACAGCGGGGCAGGGCAAAGCTGCCACGGATGCCTTGCTGTTAGTGGTGCATATACTTGCTGTGCTCTGGCATTGCCTCCATTTCACCCAACTGACCTGTAATATTATTGTTCATATGTATGGGAAAGAAACATGTGCTTTTGAACTACTGAAAGTTGTCACAAAGGGGGGAACTGTATCGATTGCTTATTTATGGTACAGCTATCACTGTGCTCTTTCCCAGCCGCCTCTGTTCCAGTTTGCATGACGCGATGAGCTGCCAAATGCACTCCACTGTGTCCAGCCGGAATGCATGTGTCCAGCCAACATTGTACATAGAGTAGTCCTTTAGGTTCCCAGATTCCACAATTCTTATCCGTTGAACTTACTCAGATTTGAATGAAGGGTGAGCACTTGCTTGAATATGTGCAATGATGATACAATCATGTTCCGTGTGGCCTCAACCAGCATAGACTGTAGATTCTCTGTGGGGGGACCAGATGACTGCATGTTTTATTCTTACACTGTATAGATGCTCTTGGTGCATCCAGAATAAAAATTTTACTAGTATATTTCTGAACAATGTACTAATAGGGGTAAATAGATATGTATTTAAAATCCAAACATTTTCCAAAGCAACTTACACACCTTCATTATTTTTCTATAATATATAAGATCAGATGCTGTACCCTGGACAGGTGGTTGTAACACAATAGTGAAAGTCAAACAAAAATGGAACTGTGAGCTGTGCATCACAACGGCAAGTGTTATCAGTCTGTTTGAAGATAGTATTGCACTAAATGTGATCTAGTAGATAGAGTTGCTTATAATAAGAGGCAAATAGGCACACGAAAGGCAGATGACACAGTTGATAGTGTCCCACATTGACATAAGTAGTACTTAGCATGGTTTAAGCATAGATGTTGAATAGAGAGACATATTTCATTGTTAAAATGGAAAATGTTTATTATTCACACTGGTTTCACCTCACATTAAATATAGAAGTACAAATGTCCCAAGTATTAGGTTTAAAAATTATGCAGATTGGAGCAAGGGAATTAGAAAATTTTGGGTTTTAAATTGCTCCTAAGAACACATAAATACTCCTAGAGTACCCAGCACTTTAATAGGAATATTACTTATGACCACTAACTCAAGTGCTCTTTTGAAATTTAATATTACTGGAGCCCGAATGCAAATCACGGCTTCCCTTAAATTTAGGAGGTTTTGCTCACCTGTGAGATCTGGCCCATACTAAATTATTTTAGAAAACCTTTTTGTTTTTTTAAATTAGTGTTTAGAGCAATGACTGTTTTTGAAGTGTGCATTGGCTGGTACTGGTGAAATTATTTGTCATTCCTAATGAATTCTACTATCTTGTATAATTTTTACCTTCTAAGCCATTTTATCTATCTCTTTTCCAAAATTTTATGTAGGTAATGAGAACATTTGTCTAGAATGTATATACATACATGGACAACTTTAAAATATGAAGATTTTTAATGATGTGAATGTTGTGTTTTACTCTTTGTTATGTGCAAGAGTAGTTCTCTTGCAGGCTTGATGGGAAAGGATAGAAGAAAGATCAATCTTTTGGAAAACAATCCATCTCGGATTCTGAATCTAGCTTTGCCATAAATGCAGTGTAACTTTGGGCAAGATACTGTTTTTATTTTTGGTATGTCCTGGGCTTCAATTCCTCACCAATAAATAATAAAATGAAGAGCTGCTTTCTTCTTATACCAAGATGATGTTAGGCGGTGAAAATCATCTTCCTCTCAAATGAAAATCACATTAAGACAAATTATCAGTGTTTTCTTTCTTTCATAGGAGATTGACCAAGATGTGCTTTTCAGTAGTCTAGGTTTTAGAGGAGACTTCCTTGGTCAGAGGTTGGTGGGGAAAGGCATAGGGGCTAAGTAATCATTAGTCAGTGGCATGCGAGCAAAAGACTTGAAAATTAACCTGGAATTTATAACTACTAATCAAGTAAACATGCAAAGAATGAAGGTCTTTTGAGGGAAGAGAGAAAAAGATATATGTAAATATGATTTTTTTTCTTACTCTACTTAGTGATAGTGTTCAACAGAAATTTTCAATTTTGTGAGAAAAGTAAACAAATTGGTGAGTATTCAAAGTATAGGGCAGTTCATCTTTCAACTTTTTGTATAAAAATATTCATGAGTTACTCAAGATTTACAGTTCCACAACAGCAAGTGTTCTTTTTTTTTTAAATAAGCAAGTGTTCTTATAAAAAATCTTTAATATTTAAAGAATCTCTTCCAGTGACCAACTTTTCAATGTGTACCTTCAATTAAAAAAAAGTTAAAAATTTTTTTTTAAAAAGAAACATTCGAATTATATTTTAAAACCACTCATTGTATTGTGTCCTAAGTGAGAGTATTTGAATTAAAAAAAATTAGAATATGCGATTAGTAATATTGGTAACTCAAGGAAGCCACTTTTAGCATGTAAACTGTGTATTTTTTAAAGTGAGATTTATTTTGTTAACATTTGCTTACTCTGCAAAAACAGCCTGTATCCTAAGGGATACACTCAAACCTGCAGTCACTTCATTTGCCACAATCCTTTGGGTAAAGAAAGCAAGAGCACATAGAAACAAAGAAGAAAATTTTATGCACTGGGAGAGATATTTAGATCTCCTTTGGGGTTTTGTAATCTTTTCTTCAAGTCAGAATTTAAAAACTCTAATACAGATTAGGAGTTAGACATTNTTTTGGGGTTTTGTAATCTTCAAGTCAGAATTTAAAAACTCTAATACAGATTAGGAGTTAGACATTATTTTGAAAGCAGACACCATTTCTCACATTAAAGAAGGGTTAGTTATTAATGCCTGATATGTTCGAGAAGTATTAAAGGAAGTTTGCGGGGACTGAGCATTACTGACCGTGACTTTTCACTATCCATTGCAATCCTTTTGATTTACTTGCCACATGGCGGGAACATTTATATTTGTGTCCACTGTGGTAGGCCCTGGCATTCCAATGCACAGTTGCATTGCATATGTACTCTACACATATGTAAATAAATATTTTCAATCAACTTGCCCTCAGTGTAAACTTCATATTTACAACTTAAATGTTGTTAGCAGCTTAGATAATAAAAACTCTCACAACTATGGCATAGCATTTAATGGTTTTTAGAGGGCTGATATAGATCAATTTGACAGTATAGGGAATGCTCATCTTGGTCCAGGGAAACAAACCAAGAGGAGATGTATGCGGGGCTACACAATCTCAACAAAAACAGTCAGGTTTTAAATAGGTTCCGGTGCCAGGCTAACAAGCTACCATGAGCCCACAGGAGCCCAAATCAAGATTACATTCCCAATCCGGAACGGATATACAAAGAGGATCCTAACGGAGGTGGCAAGTTAGGCCCATGGGGAAGTAAGCTTGGCCATTGGTAATGCTTCTGGGTGCAATCAGATCAACTCTGGTGAGTTTATATAGAATTTTTTTCATTAATTTACCTTAGTTTTACCTGTGTACATTGCTTTACTTTTATTGACTGCTCTGCGTAAGTATGTGCAGACCTCTCAGTGAGAAGGATTGGCTAAGCCTGGATCTGCCATTATCATTAAAAAAAACACCAACGTGTGAATGGGGCCACAACAAGAGCATCTGAACAGAAGCAAAATGATAACATCCACGTATCTATAGTTATAACTTATTTTTCTGGCGTATCACC